CTGGAGTTGCGGTACTTTTTTTCCGGCATGGTAACCTGTCGGCGGATTATTGAGGTAGAAATAGGGAGCTGCATGGTCTTAGATGTCTCCATGGGGGGCAGGACCTGCGCCTGATTAACATCTATGGGCCCCAGACAAAATGGGACAGGAAATGCCTCTTCATGAAGATCAAGCCTTTCCTTTGTACAGCCCAGCAAGTTGTCTTCGGTGGTGACTTTAAACACCGTCACTAGGACTAAGGACAGGAGAGGGACCGGAGTCAGGCTGGACTGTGACGGCTAGAGAGGCAGGTCTGGTTGATGTGCACATTCATTGCTGCCCAGACGACACGGGATTCACTTTTCAGCGAGGTTCTAGTCAGAGCAGAATAGATAGGTTTTTTTTAAAGGGGAACTCCGCCTTCTCGGCACCAGTGTGTCAGGCGGTGGAGTTTTCCGATCACTGTATTCTGTCTGTGACTCTGAGTGGCCCCGATACACCACCTAAGGGGAGGGGTACCTGGAAGCTGAATTCGGCACTCCTGGATGATGAGAAGGTGAGTCAATCCTTTGAGGATTTTTTTCAGGCACAGGTATCCATCATGGACGATTGCAGCAGTAAGTCTGAGTGGTGGGAGCTTACAAAACGAAGGATCGTTGGGTTTTTCAAGGCCATAGGAAGGAATAAACAGCTTGATAAGTATGTCACCTACCAGCGTCTGCGGAGGAAGCTCGATCGGCTTGTCTCCAATAATGGAGATCCAGAAGCGATCTCTGAGGTCAAACTCCTCCTCAGGCAGTGTCAATATGACAGGCATGCCTCTTTGGTTCTGGAGAGGGATTATGGGAAATATCACTTGCCCGACCCTTACCAGAACTGCAAACAAGGTAGAGCAGTTAAGTCAGTTGTAGGCCTGGTTGACAGTACGGGTTCCCTGACAAAGTCCAAGTTGGGGATCCTGGAAACCTCCAGGTCATATGCTGATCTCCTGGGTAGGAGGGACCTCGATCGGGCGAGCATGTTGGGTTTTCTGGACTCTACTCCAGGACTGGGAAATGGCAGTTCTCCTGTGAGTCCTGGGTAGGAGGGACCTCGATCGGGCAAGCATGTTGGGTTTTCAGGACTCTACTCCAGGACTGGGAAATGGCAGTTCTCCTGTGAGTCCTGGGTAGGAGGGACCTCGATCGGGCAAGCATGTTGGGTATTCAGGACTCTACTCCAGGACTGGGAAATGGCAGTTCTCTTGTGAGTTTGACAGAGGACATCACGGCAGATGAGGTGGTGAAAGCTATTGATCAGCTTGCCATGAAGAAGTCGCCTGGGCCAGACGGATTGACAGACAAGTTTTATAAGCACTTTAAGGTGACTCTGGCCCATATTTGGTGGAGGTGTTTAATGGCTGTCTGAGAGAGGGTTCGCTCTCTCCCTCCATGCGACAATCTGCAGTGATTCTTCTGTCAAGGGTAAGGATTCCTCGAGAATTGAGAATTGGCGGCCCATTAGCCTTCTCAATGTTGATAGGAAGATATTGGCAAAAATTATTTTCTGGCGTTTATCGTCTGTTGCGGGCAATTTACTTTCTCGCCATCAGCACTGTTCGGTTCAGGGAAGAAGCACTTTTTCAGCGGTGTTAGCTGTCCGGGAGGCCCTGGAGCGGTGCAGGGCTGCAGGCTGGGGAAAGTTCCTGCTGGCATTGGATCAGGCCAAAGCTTTTGATCGAGTCAATCATGAGTATCTATGGCTGCTTCTTGGCAAGTATGGCCTGGAGGGGGGCTTTATCGATTGGCTAAAGACCTTATACAGAGGGGCTGAAAGCTTCATGCTTGTGAATGGTTGGATTGGACGACCCTTTGAGGTTGGCTCAGGTGTGCGTCAGGGGTGTCCTTTGAGTCCTCTGCTATATGCGTTTGTAATCGATCCCTTCATTCGGAGGTTAGAGAGTGGACCGTTGTGTGGAGTTCCTTTGGGCATTCCTGGGGAGCCCCCTCTGAGGGTCGTGGCCTATGCTGATGACGTGTCTGTTTTCATCTCCGGACGCAGGACGCGGAGGAGGTGGTATCGGTGATGGAACGGTATGCTGAGGCAGGAGGTGGAGGAGGTGGTCTCGGTGATGGAGCAGTATGCTGAGGCAGGAGGAGGTGGTCTCGGTGATGGAACGGTATGCTGAGGCATCTGGCTCAAAGATCAATCAGGATAAGAGTGAAGTTTTCTGGATGGGAGAGGAAGGCGAAGGCTTTACCCTTCCGGACGCCTTCCCAGAGCCCCAGCAGGAAATTAAAGTTTTAGGCATCAGATTTGGTCCCGGTGATTACGGCCTTGCACATTGGGTAAGCAGGCTACAAGATGCCGATGCCAAGGTGGCCAGCTGGAAGGATTGGAAACTCTCTTACAGGGAAAGGATTGACCCGATTAAAACTTACCTGATCCCGGTATTTCTGTATGTCAGCTTTGTCTGTGTTTTGCCAGTGTCTCTCTATGCGAGGATCTACAGTTGTTTCTTCCAGCTGTTATGGGGCACAAACTGAACCTCATTAAGAGGTCTGTAACCTACCTTCCCAGGCGGGTGGGTGGCCCAGGTATGGTGACTCCGGTATGGTGACTCTGGTGGTTTTCTTTTCTCTGATGTTTTTGAAACATAATTTTGGTAGCATGCTGGCAGAGGAACCGCCTGGGTGGGTTGGTATTTTTCAGTCCTGGTTTAGGCCTTTTCTACGGAGCTGGGAGAATGGTGGGCCGGTGAAAAGCCTGAGGGTCCAACATGGTAAGCTCCCGGCTATGTTGCCCCATGTCTGAAAATGCTTCGGCAATGGCGAGTGACGGCGGAGGAAATTAAGTCTCTTCCTAGGAAGGCCCTGGAGAGGAGGGTTGTTGAATCTGCCTTTAGCGAGCCATTGGCCTTGAGGGATTGCCCAGGCCCGGTTATGAGGGAGGGTCTGCGTTTGATGAATCTGGAGAGAATCCCTTTAAAGTTTCGGGATTTGGCCTGGCTCTCGTTCCATGGCAGACTCTATGTGAAGGGCAACCTGAAGCATCGCTCTGCGGAGAACCGTGGTTGTCCAAGAGTGGAGTGCGGTGGAGTGGAGGAGACGATGGACCATTTCTTGCTTCAGTGCCCCTTCAATATAGAAGTCTACAAGCGGGTGGGTGGGGCTCTGGGGATCCCTTTCCTTTCCCGCTTGAGTTACGCGGAGTGGTCTTACGGAGCCTTTCAGACTCACCGGGACTTTGATTTTGAGACACTTTTTCTAGTTAGCTTAGTAGTCCGTTACCACACGTGGAATGCACGGTGTCAGGTTTCCATTCGCAAAAAAGTCCTTCCTGTCGAGGTGGTGGTGAACAACATTCTGGGTGAGGTTGGGAAGATTCGGGGTCTTGAGAAGGACAGGTGGCGGTCGGGAGCCTGGACAAAGGCGTGGAGGAATGTCAGGTCCCTGTAGCTGCTGTCTGTCAGTCTCTGGGGGCGTGGCTTCTCTTTCTGTCCTTTCACGTCCCCTAGATTTTATAACATCAGATTTTTGAAGAAAGGCTGCATGCATGGGATCGATGTATGGGATGAATGTGTGGGATGAATGTGTGGGATGAATGTGTGGGATCAATGTATGGGATGAATGTGTGGGATCAATGTATGGGATGAATGTGTGGGATGAATGTATGGGATGAATGTGTGGGATCAATGTATGGGATCAATGTATGGATCAATGTATGGGATCAATGTATGGGATCAATGTGTGGGATCAATGTATGGGGTGAATGTATGGGATGAATGTGTGGGATCGATGTGTGGGGTGAATGTTTAATCGTTTCTTAGCCTGAGGGGGTGTTTAGGTGACGGTCAGGATTTGTTATTTTGCTGAAGTAAGCTGGTTTTGTTTAATTATACATATTTTATTCTGTATATATGTAAATATGATTTTTATGATGTTTTTTGTTTGCAAGATTTTAATAAACAAAAAATTTACGCTCTAATGTCCCCTCCCCCACAGTCACATCAGTCTCTGTACCAGAGGAGCTTACGCTCTAATGTCCCCTCCCCCACAGTCCCATCAGTCTCTGTACGGAGGAGCTTACGCTCTAATGTCCCCTCCCCACTCAGTCCCATCAGTCTCTGTACCGAGGAGCTTACGCTCCAATGTCCCCTCCCCCACAGTCCCATCAGTCTCTGTGCCAGAGGAGCTGACGCTCTAATGTCCCCTCCCCCACAGTCACATCAGTCTCTGTACCAGAAGAGCTTACGCTCTAATGTCCCCTCCCCCACAGTCACATCAGTCTCTGTACCAGAGGAGCTTACGCTCTAATGTCCCCTCCCCCACAGTCCCATCAGTCTCTGTACCAAGAGGAGCTTACGCTCTAATGTCCCCTCCCCCACAGTCACATCAGTCTCTGTACAGAGGAGCTTACGCTCTAATACCCCCTTCCCCGCAGTCACACACCATTTTTACATTACCCCATATCTAGCCCTTTGTTTATAAACAAAGCCATGTTGGTGGGATGTCGTAGAACAATCTATGTTTTTGGATCTAAGGTGCAGTTCACACTCCATGCATTTCAGTAGCTTTTTTTCTGCATCCAAAACGCACAGAAAGTCGGTGATCTGGTTGTCGGTGTCCTCGTTCCCATCCGCTTGCAGTTCCAGTGCGTTCTGGTTGCAGAAAAAAAAAATAGAAGAGGCGGCATTTTTCCTGCACAGAACTGCACTGGAACGCGGTAAAACGCATCAAAAACGCACATCTCTATTTAAGTTGCAGAAATAGGAAAAATGAACTGGAAAGCATCAAAAAAACATCAGAAACGAGTCAAAAACGCGCATGAAGAGGCTCCTCCGGAATGTATCTGCACCGCGCTTCTATGGTGGGAACCGGCCTCACAGAAATGTATTTTCAGCAAATTTCACCAGCGATGCTGGAGGCATAATTGTGGGAGGGGCAGAGACACCAACTACTGCAAGGAAATCCCCCCCATTGTGGGAGGGGCAGAGACACCAACTACTGGGGGGAAATCTCCCCATTGTGGGAGGGGCAGAGACACCAACTACTGGGGGGAAACCTCCCCATTGTGGGAGGGGCAGAGACACCAACTACTGCAAGGAAATCCCCCCCATTGTGGGAGGGGCAGAGACACCAACTACTGGGGGGAAATCTCCCCATTGTGGGAGGGGCAGAGACACCAACTACTGGGGGAAATCTCCCCAGTGTGGGAGGGGCAAGACACCCTACTGGGGGAAATGTGGGAGGGGCAGAGACACCCAACTACTGCAGGAAATCCCCCCATTGTGGGAGGGGCAGAACACCAACTACTGGGGGAAATCTCCCCATTGTGGAAATCTCCCCATTGTGGGAGGGGCAGAGACACCAACTACTGGGGGGAAACCCCCCATTGTGGGGAGGGGCAGAGACACCAACTACTGCAAGGAAATCCCCCCATTGTGGGAGGGGCAGAGAGACACCAACTACTGGGGGGAAATCTCCCCATTGTGGGAGGGGCAGAGACACCAAATCTACTGGGGGGGCAAATCCCCCCATTGTGGGAGGGGCAGAGACACCAACTACTGGGGGAAATCTCCCCAGTGTGGGAGGGGCAGAGACACCAACTACTGCAAGGAAATCCCCCCATTGTGGGAGGGGCAGAGACACCAACTACTGGGGGAAATCTCCCATTGTGGGAGGGGCAGAGACACCAACTACTGGGGGGAAATCTCCCCAGGGGGGAAATCTCCCCCCATTGTGGGAGGGGGGAAATCAGAGACACCAACTACTGCGGGAAATCTCCCCATTGTGGGAGGGGCAGAGACACCAACTACTGCGGGAAATCTCCCCATTGTGGGAGGGGCAGAGACACCAACTACTGCGGGAAATCCCCCATTGTGGGAGGGGCAGAGACACCACTACTGAGGCTCCCCATTGTGGGAGGGGCAGAGATCTCTGCGGGATATCTCCCCATTGTGGGAGGGGCAGAGACATCAACTACTGCGGGGAAATCTCCCCATTGTGGGAGGGCAGAGACACCCAACTACTGCGGGAAATCTCCCCATTGTGGGAGGGGCAGAGACAGAAACTACTGGGGAAATCTCCCCATTGTGGGAGGGGCAGAGACACAGACTACTGCGGGAAATCTCCCATTGTGGGAGGGGCAGAGACACCAACTACTGGGGGAAATTGTGGGAGGGGCAGAGACACCAACTACTGAGGGAAATCTCCCCATTGTGGGAGGGGCAGAGACACCAACTACTGCTGGAGAATATCTTTCCTGAAAGCTTTAGGATGATGACTGATACCACATCTGTGAAATTAGAATTTTAGGTTAGTTGGAGTTATCCTTTAAATATCAGCTGACGAAGGACTGGAAGGGATAGTAGAATATTCCGGGTTTTCCTCAAGGCGCGCTGTCCACGTGTTATGTTGCGTCCTGCGGTTTTCGTTGGGTCTCTTCCAATCAGCATTTTCTATAAACAGAATGGGGAAAACACAGCGTGATATAAATGATGGCCTCGCCGTGTTGTATATTTAGATCCGGACGGTTTGGAATATTAATAGGTCAGCCAGGTGATTACACTCTGCGTCCCGACAGATTTTATGCGTCCGTGGACCCGAAATTTCCTGCCGCTGCATTATTTACCGGCGTCACACATTCATCTTTTTCTCTACAGCGCGGCAAATTCAGCAGAAAGAGCGGCGGGGCGGGAATCCTCCACCACGTGCAGAATCCGTCCTCATAGTAACCTCATCTCTCTGGGTGGGCTTACATGTCCTTAAAGTGGGCCAATAATGAGCCAATAATGGGCCAATAATGAGCCGATAATGAGCCAATAATGGGCCAATCACCAAAGATCTGCTCTGGGGGGTTTATTAGAGTTTTATTATAAACTGATCCTCAGAAGCAGAGCAGCAGCGCCCCCCACAGGACGCCCCCTGTATGGCATTGCTGGTTCAATAAGAAAGTTTCAGTATTAGGCAGCAGCCTTAGAATGGGGATCCTCTTAGCTGACCATTGGTTGCCCAGGGGCAGGCTTCCCTATTGGGAGACTCGCTGCTACCCAGCAAGGCAAGAATGGACAGTTAGATCCTAAAAGGCTGGACTCCAGCCTCCCCTTTAGTTTTGCACAGGTGTACCAGCTCCTCCCCTTTAGTCTTGCACTGGTGTACCAGCTCCTCCCCTTCAGTCATGCATAGGTGTACCGACTCCTCCCCTTCAGCCTTGCACAGGTGTACCGGCTCCTCCCCTTCAGCCTTGCACAGGTGTACCGACTCCTCCCCTTCAGCCTTGCACAGGTGTACCGACTCCTCCCCTTCAGCCTTGCACAGGTGTATTGGCTCCTCCCCTTCAGTCTTGTACAGGTTTACCGGCTCCTCCCCTTCAGTCTTGTGCAGGTTTACTGGCTCCTCCCCTTCAGTCTTGCACAGGTGTACCGACTCCTCCCCTTCAGCCTTGCACAGGTGTACCGACTCCTCCCCTTCAGCCTTGCACAGGTGTATTGGCTCCTCCCCTTTAGTTTTGCACAGGTGTACCGACTCTTCCCCTTCAGTATTGCACAGGTGTACCGGCTCCTCCCCTTCAGTCTTGCACAGGTGTACCGGCTCCTCCCCTTCAGTCTTGCACAGGTGTACCGACTCCTCCCCTTCAGCCTTGCACAGGTGTACCGACTCCTCCCCTTCAGCCTTGCACAGGTGTATTGGCTCCTCCCTTCAGTCTTGCAGAGGTTTACCGGCTCCTCCCCTTCAGTCTTGCACAGGTGTACCGACTCCTCCCCTTCAGCCTTGCACAGGTGTACCGACTCCTCCCCTTCAGCCTTGCACAGGTGTATTGGCTCCTCCCCTTCAGTCTTGCACAGGTTTACCGGCTCCTCCCTTCAGTCTTGCACAGGTGTACCTGCTCCTCCCCTGGGCTGGGATGAGTTCCTCTGATGTCACTGCACACTGGGAGCTTCTCACAAATGTGCATTAGAAGCTGCAGCCCAGTTAGAGCTCCGCCTCATCTCCTGGCTGGAGGACGTCCAGCATCATCTAACACTTTCCTCCCCAGCCTGGCTGTCCTTGGGCCCCAGCCTTTTCATTCATTGGACTTCAGTTCTTTCAATCATGGAGGCTCAGCTTCGCATATCGTAACACTATGCAAATACAGCCGGCCTAGCAACGCCCACTCTCCAGATTAACACCCACCATCAAGGGATTTTGATATTTGCGTAACTCTTAAGAGCCCGCCCACTGCTTGCTTTAGGACTGGGGGCCCCTGGCGAGAGGTAGTACAGAGGCGGGGGGTGTGAAAGTTTTCAGGGAGCCATGTTACCGCCCCATGCCTGGGACCCTCCCACCAGCTATGATTTGCCATGACATTGTAAAGAGGAAGCAACAGTGGACCCAGAGATGACATCACTGGGACTAAAAGTAGAATGTTATGTAATGAAATGTTTTAAATACAAATGTCGTAATTGATGATGAGGGGGAGGAGGGGGGTGATGGGAGGGGTAGTTACCCCGAGGATGGACAAAAGAAGTAGATGAAATTCTCATCTGTTAAGAGAAGATAATTTGGAATTATAAATCTTTTCATATTTAAAACCTAAAGATTTAAACTAATGCAGTCCATAACACGGGTCAAAGTTCTGAATGTTATTTTATTCTATCGCGATTGTCCGAAAAATTGGAAAAGTTCGTTCGCTCTGTAATCCGATGGCGCAATCATTGATTTTGAAAAACACAATTCACCCCATATAACAGGGGTTCACCCCATTCCTGTCCAGGTCCGGCGGCTGCATGGCGCATATTCTTTTCGGAAATGATCGTACAAAAACCCACAAATGGCGAAAAGAAAAGAAAAAAAAAGGGAGAGAGGAATAAAAAAAAGAGAAATGATTTGACCATCATTGAGTCCAAAATCGGTAGTTTTTCACGATTTTTCCAACATGCCCCGAATCACGAAAAAGGGGAGGAGGGCCACGAAAATTGACCGCGGTGCCATTGAACCCACTAACAGAGGCGAAAATCGGGCCGATTATTCTTAGGGCTCCAAATTTTAGGGATGTAAAATTGGTTCTATTTTCGACCCGTGTATAGGCTGGCCTACAGGCAGGGGCGTCTAGTGTGAAGGGCGAGGGAAAGTCTGTAATCGCCTGGAGGTGCTGCAATCCACCCAGATGTGTTGAAGAGCGTAGCTCCGCCCTGCCCCGCCCCCTGCTGTGGTTTCATCCTGACGCCATCGCATCACCATCAGGTGTTCTGTTAGGTGATTATGGGGATCATAACCCCAAGTAGCCTGCAGGCGCCATGCTGAGCTATTCATCATCTCAAGGTTACGATCAAGGCAGAAGAGTCCTTCAAAGTCTGGTCTCAGCACTCTTGCGCCTCAACCCTCTTCCTTGCACTCTGCTCTCACCCTCTGCCTGGCACTCTCCTCTGCGTTGTAAATCTCCAATAAATGAATTTTGGAGATGTTTAATGTTTTGTATGCCAGGAGGGGGCGCTGAGACTATGGAGAGAAACGTGAAAGACAAAACCCAGAGGCTTCATCTGGAAGAGAATGAAGGACCTCCACAGTTGTGTCGCAGGCTACAGAGGTCAGTAAGGTTTTGTTTTATTTTTTTATGTAATATAAGCTTTAATGCACTTTAATACACACACACCATTTTAAAAGAAAAAAAAAAAAAATTATCCAGTCAGTCCCACTCCTTAGACGACTGTTACGCGCACCCTAGGCGTCAGGTCCTGCACTTTAGGCAGACAGTTCCCGTTTCCGCAACCATTAGGCGTCAGGCCCTGCACCTTAGGCGGTCAGTCCAGCACGATTAGGCGTCAGTCCTGCAACTTTAGGCGTCAGTCCGCCACTTTAGACGTCAGTCCCCGCATCTTAGACGTCAGTCCCGCACCTTAGGGCGTCAGTCCCAGCAACTTTTTAGGCTTCAGTCCCGCACTTTAGGCGTCAGTCCCCGCACCATGACAGTACCAAATTCGTTGGACGTCAGTCCCACACCTTAGACATCAGTCCCTGCACTTTAGACATCAGTCCTGCACCATTAGAATGGTCAGGTCACACAGCATAGATGGTCCAGGTCCTGCAACTTACACATCAGTCCTGCACCTTAAATCATCAGTCCCACAACTTAGACGTAAGTGCCGCACCTTAGACATACAGTCGGGATGATGCTGGTGTCCTGGGCTGCGTCCCAGAATCGCAGTGTGCCACACCTATTTTAGCTACTGAGCCATGCTCAGTAACTCAATTAAGGCAACTCATTACAATATAGGAACAGCAAGTTCCAGTGGGCTGAACACTGCACACACAAAGGGAGAGGTTTTGGATGGGCTACTCCAGGTAAGTGGGTGGGGTCGGGCGGGAATCACCTAATTACTGGGTTGGGACCCCTTAATACAAAATGTGGGTGGGGGTAAATGTGGTGTCGTTCCCAGGGAGCCAGCCTAAAATGTTGGCATTTATGAAATCTGAACTGTCAATCTAGCAACACTTTGCTTCTACCTGGAAATCCCCGAGAGCAGGCATTGTGCTGCAAATGAGAATTTATGATCCCAGAACATGGAGTTTGTATGTCGCAGGAGCCATCATCTCATGGAGCCGCGAAGGGAGGCAAGCAATACAACATGGACCGTCTGTTGGAAGGGCTTGCTGGCACTTCATCCACCAACAAGACAACAGCTTTGGGAGGAAAAAATGTTGTTGGACAACAAATGTGTACGGGAACGTCCCTCCCACTCCGAAACAAACAAACTCCCGCGCCGGGCCAGAAATCATAAACCCGATCAGACATATTATTATCGGACTTATAACAAATATTAATTATATTATAAATAATAATAATCATTACTACATATATACATACTCTTTACCACCCTGCATCAAAATATTCTGTAAGATTGTATCTGCTAGATGATGATTATTCATGAATAATAATAAATAATAATAATTAATAATAATCATAATACAGGAGATACAATATATAAAATATTTTGATGCAAGAGGAATATTTATTAATTATTATTATTATTATTATTAATTAATAATAATAATAATAATTAATAATTGTAATAATAATGAATAATACATTTATAATACTTTTGCATCAAATATTCTGTAGATTTTTATCTGCTAGATGATTGATGATTATTATGATGAATAATCATCACATTCATCATCATAATTACATGCAAGATACGATATAAAAAATATTTTTTTATTATTATTATTAATAATTGACCTACATTTATAAAACAGTTATAATACATATATACTCTCTGCGATTGAAATATTATGTACTATTGTACTCTGACTAGATTGCATGATTATTATTATATATTAATTCATTATTAATAATAATAATAATATAATAATAATGCAGATATGGATATAATAAGATATTTGACGCAGGAGGAATATATAATAATAATATATACTGATTCAGTACCATTTATATTTCCCTCCGGCCCTTCAATTTAAAATTTAAGATTAAAATGTTATCTATCAAACCAAAAAATAAAGTTGTGGAGAGACAGATAGATATAGTAGATAAGAGAACTTTTTTTTCTAGCCAAATGTAAGAAGTGTGTTTAAAGTGTGCTTAGTTTTTTAAAAAATATTATTTATATTATTATCTTTTTATTATTATTATTAATAACACATCTTTTCTTTGTGTCCTAATCTCAGCATTGATAGTGTGATCTCTGTAAACTTACCAGTTGTGAAGAGAGAGCGATAACTCCAACCTCAGTTGGGCATACCACAGTCAGTTACTCATTCAAGCTAGATGATAATCTTGTAGATGCTTGATGAAAGTTTATTCATAAACTGATGAGTATCTTACAGATCAATGGAAATTCCATAGGTCAAAGAACTCTGCCGTTTTTTTTCCTGCTCCATGCCATGAGGCTTGCCGCAATGGCCAATCTCTGGGAAAGGGGGGAGGGCTATTATGCAACATTAGCTAACCAAAGAGAAAAGGGAGGAGCAGGAGAAAAAACACAGAAAACATTTAAAGCATATGACAGCCATGTGGAGACATGACAATAACAGATATACAATAATTAAAACACATTTGACGCAGGACGAAATATTAATTAATGAATAATAGTGATTCATACTTTTTAATTCTGCTTGCGCAAAAATATTTTTTATATTACATCTTAATATATATATAGTTTATCCACTACCTTACAGGAGCACTTCTACCCCCTTCCAGCCTACCGGGACACTTCTACCCCCTTTTCTGCTTACAGGTCACTTCTACCCATTACGCTGGCCTACAGGGCACTTCTATGTTAATTTTTTTATTTACGGACCACTTATAATGTTTTCCTGTGTCTACCGTTGTCTTCCTTTCTAGTGTTTGTTGTTTCTTTATATTTTTTTCTTTCTTCTTTCTTTTTTTTTTTGTGTTATAATGCACTTCTACCCCCTTTGATTATTTTTACCAGTATTTATTCTTCTTACCCTTCGTGCCTACCGAGACTTTTTTTCCCCCCTTCCTGCCTATTTGTTTGTTTTGTTTTGTTTTTCTACCCCTTATTTTTTTTATTGACACTTTTTCCCCATTTTTGTTTAACAGGACATTCTATTTCCTTCCTGTCATTTTTAGTAACTTGTGCGGTCTTTTTGCCTGCTCGGACAATTTTTTTTTTCCTGCCTATCAGGACACTTTTCTAACCCCCTTCCTGCCTACCAGGACACTTCTACTTTACCCCTTCAGGCCCTACCGCGTCCAGCATTCTACCCTACCTTGTTGCCTATATTTTGGCAACTTCTACCCCCTTCATGCCTACCGTGACACTTATGAGACACTTCCTGCCTATCCAGGATACTTCTTCTTTTCCCCTTGGTGCCTCACATTGTTTTACTTATCCCCCCTTTTATGCTATTGCCGGACA